GGAAATTATTACCTGAGACAAAATGTAGGTCTTTGTTCCTTCACTAACCATAACTGAAGTCCACCTGCCTTTGCATTTGGCTGATCAGTCTATAGACATGAAAACCTTGGTGTAAGCTCTGTAATTTTGCATAGGTCAATGTTATAGAAACTCAGAAGGCAGAGAGAACACATGAGTCTGGGAAAATGGGAGGAAAATGTCACATGGAGACAATTTTGAGCATTGTTAAACCCATGAAATAATCTGTTGACCCCAATCTCATTAAACGCACTTCTTGGTTGCTTCTTCTGAACCAAATGCACTCTAAGATTTCTGGCCCTAAAATTATACATCAAACCAGTTAAAGAAATTGATTATCAAGTAGTAGAATGATTTACCCAGTGGAATTAGAACTAGCCCTTACTCTTCTGGTGCTTAATTCACCACCTGAGTTTACCACTCTCTAATATTTATTAAAGACAAAACTGCAAAATAGGAGGAACAGACAATAGACTGTTAGTTGGTGAGGGGTCAGGATGAAGAGAAAGGTGGCCACAAAGGGGCAACACGAGAGAATTTGGAAGGTGATGGAACTATTCTGTGCCCAATTATGGGAGTTATTAGGTTGCTAATATGTGTTCATTAACATTCATAGAACTGTATGCCAAAAAGAGTACATTTTAGTGTATATAGTTTTTAAGTGAATTTAAAAAAAAAATGCAGGTGCAAACATTAATGTGTTTTAGGGGAGAAATCTAATCTAGGGAAAGGAGACAGGAGGGAGATTTTTATATATAAATATACAGGTGTGTGTGTGTGTATTCCTTTTGATTAGCTTCTTTGATTAATTTACTTCTGTTATTGAGTTAAGAATCCATATGTAAATAACTTTTCAAAAGTAGAAGCTAAAACTATGCAGTTGGCTCCCCCGAATGTTTTCTTATGTTGCTAGGCAACCTTCACTCTGCCAGGTTGTAAAATAGCCTCTCCTCCTTGCAGGTTACTGGAAGAGCTGCTGAACAAGTTCAAGAGTAGCATGCATTTGCAGCTCACCTGTTTCCAAGCTGCTTCTTCAACTATGATGAAAACATAAATACCTCCACAGTAAGGGCAGTCTAAAAATAACAAGTAATAAATTATTATTACTTTGTTAAGTGCGCTACAGGTATTAGCATATAAAGCATTAGGTTTGCAATCTCTGTCTCTTTTCCCCAAATTGGTAGCTTAGAAAGACGTTGGTATATGTTTTATTTCAACCAAAATGACCTTGTTTGAAATGCCCGAGCAGTAATTTGTTTTGTCATTTTTATTACATTAGGCCCTGTATGGCTTTAAAATACCTTTAAATATATATATTCTTAGCTAGATGTTGCATGATTAATGCTACAGGAAGAGATACCTTTCCAGAGAGTGCTTCAAGATGGCATATGATGTAACAAAGGCATTCTTCAGTGTCTCATATACCAGACTTTAGTGTCTCTAGCTTCCAAGGCATATGGAGACATTGGTAAGAAGAGATTTAGAAAGTTATATTTAGACATCTTTGGAACTTTAACTGTCCTAAACTGTACATCTGTACTTAAAAATACAAATACCTCACTCTCCTAACTCAAGTGGATTTTTAGAAAATTTGCCGTCTGCTTAAGAAAATGTTATATTTGGGGTAGATTATTTGTGCCCAGATGTCCATGAGTTAACTTTGTATTTTTCTGCCTAATTTTTATTTCTCACTGCGCTAATAAACATTAAGCACCTTTCAGTGTGTAGCCTTTCTTTGTTGCATTCACTCATAATTTAATGTGTCCTTTCATGTCAATGTGTTGCCTGTTATTGAGGACCCCGTTGTTACTGCGGTGGAGCTTGGATACCCCAGTAGGTGCTGGTGGGAATAGCCACAGCCTTCACTGCCTCCTAAAGAACAAGCCAGGTCCCCTGGTGACAGCTGGCATTCCTGCCCACTGCTATTGACTCCTTCCCCCTCTGGTAATGTCTTTTCTCTCCACTGCTCCTTACCCTTTGAAGCATCTTGCTCAGTAACTAAAAGAACACTGCTCTGGCAGAGTCTATGTTTTCTGAAGATTTAAAGATGTTCCTCTGTTACCAGGCAGTAGGAACTGCTGATGCACCTCGTGCCATTTGTCCTACATTCGATGTTGACTTCGTTTACCAGAATAGGTGCAGGGCACCATGACCTCTTTCAAAGTCAGCTTCCCCTACCTAGCTGCATCATACCAGTTGCTTCAGAAAACTGAGTAATTCTCTTACCTGCAGGCTGTATGTCAGGGTTCTCAAATTTTTCTGTGGATGTCGCAGAGTCCCCTTTTTTAATGTGGAAATTAATATATTTACTAATAAAAGTATTTTTTTATTATGAAATTTATTGTCAAATTGGTTTCCATACAACACCCAGTGATCATCCCAACAGGTGCCCTCCTCAATACCCATCACCCACCCACCCCACCCTTCCACCCCCCATAAACCCTCAGTTCTCAGTTTTTAGGAGTCTCTTATGTTTTGGCTCCCTCCCTCTCTAACCATTTTTTTTCCTTCCCCTCCCCCATGGTCTTAAGTTTCTCAGGATCCACACTAATACAAGTAATTTTAGAGTACAGTATAGCCAAGTACAGTATCATTTAAAATAAGTCAGTGCTGGGGCTTCTGTGTGGCTCAGTCTGAGTTCGGCTCAGGTCATGATCTGGCAGTTCATGAGTTCAAGCCCCTCATCAGGCTCTGTGCTGACAGCTCGGAGCCTGGAGCGTGCTTCAGGTTCCAGGTCTCCCTCTCTCTCTGCACCTTTCCTGTTCACACTCCATCTTTCTCTTTCTCTTTCTCTTGCTCTCTCTCTCCAAAATAAATGAACATTAAAAAAAATTAAAATAATTCAGTGTTGTTATGTTGGTTCATTTGGTGTATGGGGGAAATCATACTAACTGGAAGTAAAAGTTTAATTTCTACAAATTTGCTCCATAAAATTTACTAAGAAATATACAGAATATTCTCTCTCCTAAGCCTGGTAACTATTATATTTAACATGATTATGAACTAAATTACAAATCTGCAAGCCTGAATGTTTGTGTTATTTTAAATATCTAGTACAGAACATTAATCCAATAAAGAACATACTGGACAAAGGGCTAGTATCCAAAATCTATAAAGAACTTACCAAACTCCACACCCGAAAAACAAATAATCCAGTGAAGAAATGGGCAGAAAACATGAATAGACACTTCTCTAAAAAAGACATCCAGATGGCCAACAGGCACAGGAAAAGATGCTCAACGTCACTCCTCATTAGGAAAATACAAATCAAAACCACACTGAGATATCACCTCATGCCAGTCAGAGTGGCTAAAATGAACAAATGAGACTATAGATGCTGGTGAGCATGTGGAGAAACGGGAACCCTCTTGCACTGTTGGTGGGAATGCAAACTGGTGCAGCCATTCTGGAAAACAGTGTGGAGTTTCCTCAAAAAATTAAAAATAGGTCTACCCTATGACACAGCAATAGCACTACTAGGAATTTACCCAAGGGATACAGGAGTGCTGATGCATGGGGGCACTTTTACCCCAATGTTTATAGCAGCACTTTCAACAATAGCCAAATTATGGAAAGAGCCCAAATGTCCATCAACTGATGAATGGATAAAGAAATTGTGGTTTATATACACAATGGAATACTACGTGGCAATGAGAAAGAATGAAATATGGCCCTTTGTAACAACGTGGATGGAACTGGAGAGTGTGATGCTAAGTGAAATAAGTCATACAGAGGAAGACAGACACCATATGTTTTCACTCTTCTGTGGATCCTGAGAAACTTAAGACCATGGAGGAGGGGAAGGAAAAAAAAAAGAGAGAGAGAGAGGGAAGGAGCCAAACCATAAGAGACATTTAAAAACTGAGAACAAACTGAGGATTGATGGGGGGATGGGGAGGAGGGGAAAGTGGGTGATGGGCATTGAGGAGGGCTCCTGTTGGGATGAACACTGGGTGTTGTATGGAAACCAATTTGACAATAAATTTTATATTAAAAAAATAAGGGGCGCCTGGGTGGCGCAGTCGGTTAAGCGTCCGACTTCAGCCAGGTCACGATCTCGCGGTCCGTGAGTTCGAGCCCCGCGTCAGGCTCTGGGCTGATGGCTCAGAGCCTGGAGCCTGTTTCTGATTCTGTCTCCCTCTCTCTCTGCCCCTCCCCCATTCATGCTCTGTCTCTCTCTGTCCCAAAAATAAATAAACGTTGGAAATAAATAAATAAATAAATAAATAAATAAATAAATAAATAAATAATAAGACATTAGGTTGGATTCTCAAAAAAAAAATGTCTTTAATACAAGATATAACTTAGATGTCATTTTTTCCCCTAAGCATCTTTATGTCAGCATTTTCATTAGTTGTATCACTTTTATATATATTGTTTTAACACACAAAATACATACCTAAATTTTAGTTTACCTTATATTTGCCTAATCATTGTCAGAAAGCATTTATCAGCTGTCCACCTAATTCTCTACTTGTTGGGGGCTTACCAGATGCTAGACATTGTACCAAATTATCTCATTTAGCCTTCCCAATAGTGTTATGACAACCTAATGAGCTAGAAGGTATTATGTCCATTTCACAGATGAGGAAATCAGGACCTAAGAGAGAAATTCGTGACTTCAAGACTACAAGGCTGGTAAGAGCAGGATGTGTCACACTCGGAGTTGTCTGGTTTCATTGCCCTTTAATTTAACCATGGCCAGTTCTTCCTCCCAGCCAAATATACTTTCTGCTGTCCTTCAAGTGACATGGCTCAGGGAAGCATATAAGTGCTAGAGGATAATAAAACTTAAGCAAAATAGGGACAAGTAAGTGCTTTTTTATGGCTCAGAGAATTGAGGGTAGGCACATAAAAACCCCATACCCAAATGAGGTGGTTCAAGGACTACTATTCCAACAAGTCAAGGGAAACTTCTTGGAAGAAAGGGGTATTTCAAGACTTTCTTGAGGTACAGAAGAATTTAGTGGTTAAGAGGAGAAAGCTGAATATAATGTAAGTTAGCAGAAAGCTGAGAGATAAACCAGGACTTGGAGCAAATTGACAAAAACATAAAAAGAATTAAGATACTCAAAAGTGCTTTCACACATAGGTAGCATTTGGGCTTAGCACACCCACATTCATGTGATCATCCTGGCTTCATATCAGTTAGCAAAGTCAGCCCCACCTTCAATACTAAAAAATGTATTAGGAATAATTTGGTTTTACTAAGACTTTATCAGTATGCCATGAAAGTGGCATGCTCTAGAAATGATTCTGGCATTGCAAGACAAGCATCATTGCCATAGGCAGGCTTTCTGAGGCACTCACCTGGCTCTTCAATCCTTGTATGCAGCTTTCCTAGAGGGGATAAATAGAAAACATTACACTTTAATTCTGGTTTGGTGCAAGATGGTGATGTGTTTCAGTTTTGATTATGTGCTGTAGGACATTTTAGACGTGTAAGAGCATTATGATGTGTTTTCTGAAAAGTTATAAATTTCAACATTTTAAATCAAGATTATGTTTCTAAAGTAAAGTTAGCTCTATTTAATATATGCTTAAAATAATTACGCTTAACTATAGACTGAAACTAGCATACATTTTTGTCATTAAACATTTTTGTAGCAGTGCTATTATAAAGGCTTTCATATGAATATATAAAATGCTGTAACAATATAAAAGATGTATTGAATATTTGATATGCATACCTCAACTGGAACAGCAAGGGTTTTTTTTTTTAATAAATATGTCAGAACAGCAAATGATTCAAGCTTTGCATTGAATGCATATTTTTATATATTAGAGTCATGTTTTTGGTGTGTTGATGTCTTCTTTCTATTCACCCACATTTGTAATTCAGTTTTATCATATCACTGGATCACTGGAAAGCCTTTTTGTACCTGGCCAGGTTATAAATACATAACAAATATTTTACTAACAGGATCTGGGTCTTTGGGTTATCTGTTTGTAACTTGGCTAATAAAAGTCAGTAGGATGCCAAACTACTTTTTTCCTGTCCAGCCTATAAACTCTATCCTTAGGTAAAGGAAGTACTGAAGCTGGTCACCCTGTTTTCATCAGCATCATAACCATGACTGGTTGTCCCACTGGCCGTGTTGCTATAATCATTGTTGATAGTGTTGTGGTTGTTCTCATTATTTCTATCACATATTTCTTGAATATTCCTGTACCATCTGCCTACAAACTCTTCAGCTAGGCCCAGATTCCTGAGAACCAAGACAACTACCTGATCACTACCTGCCAAAGAAGGCCCACAGAAGGACTCATCACAAAGGGATGAGGGGAGCCAGGGAACGATGGAGTCATGGGGGTCACAAAAATAAAGGGAAGAAGAAGAATCATGTTGGAATATAGAGATTGTTGGCAAGGTCAAATGTTGCAGATGTGTACAAAGGATAAATGCTGAGAAATGGTTGCTAAACTTGGCATTTGGAAAATCATAAGTGACCAGAAAATGATAAGGAAGGAATCAGAGAAACTTTCTCTTAACTTGCCCACAAGAGCTGTCAAGAAAACTGTCTCTTTCTTGAAGATCACAAAACATCCAGGCCTCAGCACAAAAGTGGAATTTCTAAGGGTCAGTCTTTTTTTTTTTAATGATATTTTAGTTAACATACAGTGCAATGTTGGTTTCAGGAGTAGAATTCAGTGATTCATCACTTATATACAACACTCAGTGTTCATCACAAGTGCTCTCCTTAATACCTATCACCTACCTAGCCCATATGCCACCCTCCTTCCATCAACCGTGTTTGTTCTCTATCATTAAGAGTCTCTTATAGTTTGTTTCCCTCTCTCCTCTTTCCTCTCCACCTTCCCAAATGTTTACCTGTTGTGTTTCTTAAATTCCACATATGAGTTAAATCATATGGTATTTGTCTTTCTCTGATTGACTTATTTCGCTTAGCATGATACATTCTAGCTCCATCCATGTCATTGCAAGTGGCAAGATTTCATTATTTTTGATGGCTGAGTAATATTACAATGTATACCCATACCACATCTTCTTTATCCATTCGTCAATTTGAACATTTGGGCTCTCTCCAGTTTGGCTATTGTTGATAATGCTGCTATAGACATTGGGGTCCATATACCCCTCCTATCTTTATTTTTATATCCTTTGGGTAAATACCTACTAGTGAAATTGCTGGATCATGAGATAGTTCTATTTTTATTTTCTGGAGGAACCTCCATACTTTTCTCCACAGTGGCTTCACTAGTTTGCATTCCCACTAGCAGTGTAAAAGTGTTCCCCTTTCTCCACATCCTCACCAACACCTGTCATTTCTTGTGTTATTAATTTCAGCCATTCTGACAGGTGTGAGGAGGCATCTCATTGTGGTTGATTTGTACTTCCCAGTTGATCAGTGACGTTGAGCATCTTTTCATGTGTCTGTTAGCCATCTAGATGTCTCTGGAAAATTGTCTATTCATATCTTTTGCCCATTTCTTAACAGGATTATTTGTTTTTTGGGTGTTTAGTTTAATAAGTTCCTTATGGATTTTGGATAGTATCCGTTTATCATGTCATTTACGTATATCTTCTCCCATTCCATAGGCTGCTTTTTAGTTTTGTTGTTTGTTTCCTTCACTGTGCAGAAGTTTTATCTTGACGAAGTCCCAAGAGTTCATGTTTGCTTTTGTTTCCCTTGCCTTTGGCAACATATCTAGTAAGAAGTTGCTATGGCTGAGGTCAAAGAGGTTGCTGCCTAGGTTCTCCACTAGGATTTTGATGGTTTCCTGTCTCACATTTAGGTCTTTCATCCATTTTGAATTTATTTTGTGTGTGGTGTAAGAAAGTGGTCCAGTTTCGTTCTTCTGCATGTCGCCATCCAGGTTTCCCAGCACCATTTGTTGAAGAGACTGTCTTTATTCCATTGGATATTCTTTCCTACTTTGTCGAAGATGAGTTGACCAGAAAGTTGTGGGTTTATTTCTGGTTTTTCTATTCTGCTCCATTGATCTATATGACTGTTCTGTGCAAATACTATACTGTCTTGATGATTACCGCTTTGTAACATAGCTTGAAATCCGGAATCATGATGACTCCAGTTTTATTTTTCTTTTTCAGGATTGCTTTGGCTATTCAGGGTCTTTTGTGGTTTTATACAAATTTTAGGATTGTCTGCTCTAGCTCTGCAAAGAATGCTGGTGGTATTTTGTTAGGGATGGCATTAAATGTGTAGATTGCTTTCAGTAGTATAGACATTTTAACAATGTTTGTTCTCCCAATCTGTGAGCATGAGATGCTTTTCCCTTTCTTTGTGTCCTCTTCAATTTCTTTCAGAAGTCTTCTATAGTTTTCAGAGTACAGATCTTTTTACCTTACATTAGTTTATTCCTAGGTATCGTATTTGTTTGGGTGCAATTATAAATGGGATCGATTGCTTAATTTCTTTTTCTGCTGCTTTGTTATTGGTGTATAGAAATGCAATACATTTCTGCACGTTTATTTTATAGCCTGTGGCTTTGCTGAATTCATATATTAGAGCAATTTTTTGGTGGGGTCTTTTGGGCTTTCTACATAGAGAATCATGTCATCTGCAAATAGTGAAAGTTTGACTTCTTCATTGCTGATTTGTATGCCCTTTATTTCTTTTTGTTGTCTGATTGCTGAAGCCAAGACTTCCAGTAGTATGTTAAATAGTAATGGTGAGAGTGGGCATCCTTTTCTTGTTCCTGACTATAGGGAAAAGGCTCTCAGTTTTTCCCCATTGAGGATGATATTAACTGTGGGTCTTTCATACATGGCCTTTATGGTGGAAGTATGTTCCATCTATCCCTACTTTGTTGAGGCTTTTATCAAGAATTGATGCTGTATTTTGTCAAATGCTTTTTCTGCATCTATTGAGAGGATTATAGGTTCTTATCCTTTCTTTTATTAATGTAGTGTATCACGTTGATTAATTTGCAGATATTGAATCAGCCCTGCAGCCCAAGAATAAATCCCACTTGATCCTGGTGAATAATTATTTTAATGTACTGTTGAATTTGATTTGCTAGTATCTTGTTGAGAATTTTTGCATGCAGGTTCATCGGGGATATTTGCCTGTAATTGTCCTTTTTCGTGAGGTCTTTGTCTCGTTTTGGAGACAAGTAATCCAAGTAATGTTTGCCTCATAGAATGAGTTTGTAATTTTTCTTCCCATTTCTATTTTTTGAGATAGTTTGAGAATAGGTATTAACTCTTCTTTATTTATTTTTTTCAATTTATTTATTTTTAAATTTACATCCACATTAGCATGTAGTGCAACAATGATTTCAGGAGTAGATTCCTTAATGCCCCTTACCCATTTAGCCCTTCCCCCCTCCCACAACCCCTCCAGCAACCCTCTGTTCTCTATATTTAAGAGTCTCTTATATTTTGTCCCCCTCCCTATTTTTATATTATTTTTCCTTCCCTTCCCTTATGTTCATCTGTTGTGTATCTTAAGTTCCTCATATGAGCAAAGTCACATGATATTTGTCTTTCTCTGACTAATTTTGCTTAGCATAATACCCTCTAGTTCCAAACACGTGGTTGCAAATGTCAAGATTTCATTCTTTTTTATTGCTGAGTAATACTCCATTATATATATATATATACCACTTCTTCTTTATCTATTCATCCATCAGTGGACATTTGGGCTCTATCTATACTTTGGCTATTGTGAATAGCACTGCTATAAACATTGGGGTGCATGTGCCCCTTTGAAATGGCACACCTGTATCCCTTGGATAAATACCTAGTAGTGCAATTGCTAGGTCGTAGGGTAGTTCTATTTGTAATTTTTTGAGAAACCTCCATACCATTTTCCAGATTGGCTGCACAAGTTTGCATTCCCACCAGCAATGCAAAAGAGATCCTCTTTCTCCACATCCTCGCCAACATCTGTTGTTGTCTAAGTTGTTAATGTTAGCCATTCTGATAGGTGTGGGATGGTATCTCATTGTGGTTTTGATTTCTATTTCCCTGATGGTGAGTGATGGTGAGAATTTTTTCATGTGTTGGTTGGCCATCTGGATGTCTTCTTTGGAGAAGTGTCTATTCATGTCTTTTGCCCATTTCTTCACTGGATTATTCATTTTTTGTGTGTTGAGTTTGATAAGTTCTTTATAGATTTGGATAGTAACCCTTTATCTCTTATGCCATTTGCAAATATCTTCTCCCATTCCATTGGTTGCCTTTTAGTTTTGCTGACTGTTTCCTTTGCTGTGCAGAAGTTTTTATTTTGATGAGGTCCCAATAGTTCATTTTTGCTTTTGTTTCTCTTGCCTCTGGAGACATGTTGAGTAAGAAGCTGCTGAGGCTGAGGTCAAAGAGGTTTTTGTCTGCTTTCTTCTCTAGGATTTTGATG